TAAACTAAGATTTACAAACGTGTACAGGTATTTGTGTGTAACAAAAGCAGTCTGACCACACTCTGTGTTACAATTTGATAATTTTCTTTTTCAAAAAGCTTAGAGTGTCTAAAAATGTCCAAAAAAAATTGTGGAATTATTTTCACTCACTTACAGAACTTGCATGACCAAGCATGAAACAAGTAAATTTAGTAAAGTAAATTTTACACAACAGTGTACTTGAGCATAATCCATAATGGGCTTTTTGTGAAAGTAGTTTGCAAAAAGCAAGCAGTGTCACTTTATGTGCCCTTATTTTTTGTTTTAAATCTTTTAGCGTTTCACTGCAACAAGAACACTATGAATTAAAGGGGTTTTTCCACCCTGTCTTGCACTCGGTGTGGGAGAAGTTTCAGACATGACTGCATGATCACAAGACTTTTCTGGATGTTTGTCATAATCTCTCACTCGCATATCACACAACTTCATAATGTTATGAAAAAAAGTTTAAATTACATATACTTTAGTACATACTGTCACCTGTAAAAGTATGTCTCCTTGAATCTGCAGGTGTACTGAGATCAACAGGTTTTTGAGGCCTACAAACTGTGTGGCAGGGCAGCATCCCCAAACAAGATATGATCATTATGATGGAGATGTTCTGGACCTCAGGGAAATTATAAAACAAAATGTACTCAGGTGAGGATCAGTACTATGTAATCAGTATCACATCCTATATATCATTCTGTTAATTTAAAAAAAATGACTACATTTGGTATGTGATGTAAACATGGCATTGTTATAGACAAGGCTCACCAGTAGTGCTGGTGAACGGAGCTTTAGCTCTGGAAGAGGTTGCTCCCACTGGCTTTGCTTTTTGGCAACAAGGTTCATCGCTAAGGTCTAATCATGCTGGGACAGTGCACAGGATGACAGTGTGCAAAAAAACATGCACTCATCCAAAGTGATGGACATGTATGAATCAGTAGTAGTTGTTGCTACATGTTGTTGACATGTATTTATAGACAATGGAGAAATATCCTTAGAGATGTTTGGCCTATGTGAAAACCAGCTGATAAAAATGAAGCCTTTCTTTTAACATTGTGCAGTGAGGACCACTGGTGTGCATCACACAGCAGCTGAATAGATATAGATGTGAGACCACGTATCAGTGCACAAAGATTTTTTATTATTTTGACATTTGTGTAGGAAATGCAAGCAAAAACTTTAAAAGAAACTTGAGTAGAGTTTTGTAAGCATAAAAACATTAAGAATATACACATCATCTGATATACAGCAGGCCTGTTTTGTTCACTAACATTCACATCCATCCTGCACACTAAAAGCTAGTGTTTTTATTTTGACCATACATGTTTTCTTAACATGAGACACAGCAGGTAACAATAAACAGGTGCATAGCTCACCTTGGCACACAGACAGAAAATTAAAAAATATATATTCAAATATTAAATACAGAATGTTGGAGGTGTCTGCTGCTGGGAATTGTATATAGATGAGAGTCACCGTTCCAAAATCCAAAAAGGCATCATATTGTTTTCTACAGGTTCAAACATCACAATACTGAAGCTTTAGCAAAGCTGATATTACTTCTCCCCACTTTAAGCTCCACCTACCAAATAACACAATAATGCTACTTACACAGAACCTCAAAGAAACAGCTGATGAGACAGAATGTGTAAGCATGTAAACTTCAATTCTCCAGTGATGTTAAAATACTTCTAGACCAACTCCTCCTTTATGTGTTGTTTGCACTTCCAGTAAATGTTTCCTTCACTGAAAAATAGTTACACTTACAACATTAATATAGAGAATCCTCCATCGTACTGCTAAGGTTTGTTCTGCTTCTAGGCGCTGTTTGGAGCAAGAAATGTTGCGTGAGCTTTTTTCACAACTTGAGGTTACTTACAGTATAACACATAATAAACCTGCGAATAAGGATTTGTGTAATCATTTTCAATCTGCAGGGATTACAGTTAAATATTTAATATAATCTCTTTTTGTTCCTGACCAATATTTGCATTGTCAGAAACACATTTAGCCATTAGGTTAAACAAAATGAACATTGTTTAAAGAACTGGCAGGTTTATTTCCACAGACACTCAAAAGCTTCAAATGGCCATGGAAATAGATACCTTAGTGAAAAAGGCACAAAAACATGAATTTATTTGGATTTAGTGTTAGAGGGCTTTGAGACTTCCTGTGTTGTATTTGTTCAGTGGCTCAATCTAATTTCATGTGACTGAATAAACACTTTTAGAGCACTAAGATCTGAGAAAGATATGTTACGCTTTAATACCGGTTGCAATAAGAAAGAAAAGCATATGATGCTGCACATTTGTTCGTGTTCCCTAAAAAAAACCAAAAACAAATATCAGGACGCTTGTGCAAACACACTTGTTTTTTGTTTTTCCTCTCTCAGCACTCCGTCTCTTTAGTATCAATGCGTTCCTGCCTCTTAAGGCGCCGTCGGTCCTTGGCTGGTAGGTTCTGTTCGGTCAGATCCTCGAAGGAGGATTTCGTAGCCGACGAGCAGGCTCCTGCGGTTGTGAAATCTTCCAGCAGGCCCTCCTCTCCCAGGTGAGAGCCGCTGCTGGTGTCCTCCTGGATGGTGGCCATCCGCAGCCCCCCTGCGCTGTCCGGGGTGGGGCCGGAGTTCAGATCGGGGGCCGGGGTACTGGTGTTGGTTGCGAGTGTGGCCCGGACCTGGCTCTGCGGCTGAGGCTGTTGTTGATGGATGAAGGGCACGGTCCGGCCGCCGGAGGAGGAGGGAGGCTGAAGAGGCTTGACGATGCGCACGGATGCTGACTCGAGGTTGCTCAGCACGTCTTGATTCTGAAGAGGGAGAACAGCATGTGAGGACGGAGGCAAGTCACAGCTGTGTGTGACTGAGGTGGCACCCATTCCCTTTTTACTACATTCTGTTTAATTCAGAGCATCACATGTATCCCAGAACTTTACAGTTTAACTCCCCAACATATGTTTTATAATAATAACCTCATGTTGCTGATTGCGCTACCTTTAAGTAGCTCCTTTCTACTCTTATCTACACTCTTAACACACACCCAATATCTTAAGGTGGGAATGAGTAAAAACAAAAACCTTTCTGCCTTTGACCATTTTGAAGTGTCAGGCAAATGTGATTTATTAATTATGACTGCAATCCATTTAGGGTTACCAGCACCCTGATATTAAACACATTGGTTCAGCTGCAGGATTTAAAAGCAAACCTAAATGGAACTAAGCCATCATTAATTTGATCATTTGTGCGAGCGCTTAAAACGCTCTAACAAGTCAAAATGTCTGCAAGAAAGGTCTTAAGAGGAATGTACCCCCCAGTCTTTTTCTCCTCCCTCCAATCAAACCCAAAGAAGGACCTCACACAGTGCACACAGCCAATAAACAAAAAATAAAAACAGTCACCTAAACGCTTCTTGTTTTGGCTTTGAAGAGCAACTAAAAACTGAAAAATGTCGACACACACTGCATCCAATTTCACGAACGACAACAATGTGAAACCCGTTTGGTCGTCTCGATGTTTGAATACTCCAAAAGTGCAATCTTGCTTACTTGAGGCAATTCCTGATCTGCTGCTCCACAGCTGTTCAGTTGCATGAAGCTGTGCGAGCCTCCCTCGCTTTATTTGTCAGATGAAGACGAGTTCGAGGGGCTGCAAATGTGCAGCTGGATCAGTGATTACCATCAAGCAGTAAGTGACTGCAAGAGTATCCCAAACGTGGGCCACTGACCATGCACCGTCATGGACTCAATGGCAACGCATTGCAACACCAAGCCGTCGCACACACACTCACCTATGGCGGGAGCTCTACTACAAATTTCCACCATCTGCTGCAGTTCCAAGGCAAAGAGTGATGGACAGGTCATTCAGAAAACCCAGCAGTGACAGTGAGGCCATTGCTTGTGGATTATCTGACCACTGGTTTATACAATTTAAAGAGAGTCTTCTGATTCTCATTCTTACCCTTTTATTTTTCCAGGTCTGGGCTGGTTTACCACTAGCCTTTTACAACATCAAATAATGATATTAAAGGTAAAACCACAATTTCCCAGCTCAGCAACAAAAACCATGACTGTTAGCAAATTTTAAAGTTGGCCTATTTTGATTTTTCTCATCTTTTGTCACACATATACCGTTTCAATGCAGGAAGCACATATAAAACATGGCCAGGCTCCCTATGAACTAAAAGCTCAGGCTTAAGATGCTCTAAATGCTAATTTCATCATGTTTCCTTTTACTCTTGGTGCTGCAGGATGATCAGAGAAGGAAAATCAGCAGCAGACACACAAGACTTTTGGTTAAACCTTCTGTTTAAAAGGCTCATCCAATCAGAGGAAAGTCAGCTGGAAAGAAGAAGAGCTAAAAACAGATCTTGTTTTCTGGCAATGAGGGGGTTGCCGTATGCTCCAGCATAAGATATAAGCAATACTTTGAACTTTAAATGTTACAATGCAGTTTTTAATTTATGTCTTAATTTCTCATTTGCAATGAAAAAAGGCCAATCCATGATCCTCAGTTACAGTCCTTCCTGTTTCTTCTCCCTGCTTGATTAAAGAGGTCAGTTTTTAAGAAGCAATATGGAACTGGATTAGTTTGGTTAGTCTGGTGCAAGAGAGCAACGGTGGTGCACAGGATCAGCGTGTGTGAGCACTGGAAAGTTGAAGAACTTACATTTGGAGGATAATAAAATGACTTTGTGTTCTCCTCATACTGCTGGTCGAGTCGCTTGTCCTAAAGATAGAGGTAACAGAAAAGGACAGCATAAGCATAGTGCTAATGATGCAAATATCAGCTGCTCATTGTACACTGAAGACAATGGGGATCAGTGCAAATGGATATTCAGCAGCTTCTTACCACACAGTGAACCAGGATACTGAGAGGAATCCAGAAGATGAGGGAAAACACCACGACTGAGCCCACTATGTTATCAGCCAAGAACTTCCCTGATGTGGTGATGAGGTGGAGGATAGTGATAAACACACAAAAGAGGAGAAGAAGAAGAAAAAGAATTTGACTAAGCTAAGCTACTACAGTCATAAACATTAAAACAATATCACAATTATTCAGAGTTTTATTGTATCTGGAAGCATTTTCACACACTTTTTAACGCCGACTTACCAAATGTGTTTATGTCCAGCTTGTCAATAAAGTCCCACAGCCTCTCAATCACATCCTGTACCTGCTTCATGCACTTTCCCTTTATGACCGAAAACAAAGTTGACATTGAAATAAAAATAATATCTCCAAAATGTTGTAACGCTGACACAGTTTTGTCAGCACTAGTGTAGTTCAGAAATATGATAGGATCAGCAGGTTTCTTGATTGCAGAGCAGAGAAGTATAAAGGTTTGGTAACTCACGCCTTCATCACAGAAGCCCACGGTGCAGGGTTTTCCTTTGCGAAGGAATAGAAAGTTGCCATCTTTAGAGTAGGGAGAGCAGGTGCCATTTTTACTCCTGCAGCACACTTTACAGGAGTGCTCAGTATCTGGAAGCAGAAGAGACGATCAACACAAGAAGCATTTAAAGAAATATTGAGAACTGTTATTCATTTATATCCTGGATATATTGAAAGAATATCCAAGCTTATTCAAACAGTCCCTTTTATTCTTAATATGTTACTTCCAGCTGTAAATCCAAAAAAGAAAAATTCATCTGTGATCTTGTCATTTCTTTCCAAACTCATTGATTTTTGCTCGTCTAGATACTCCTCCATCTGATTACCTCTATAATCAGTGAGAGTCTCCAGGCTTATTCAGCAAATCTCAGACATTTTCAAATGTTGTTGAAAGAAATAAAAATCACCATTGCAAGCGCAAGGCTGAAGGCTCAGCTCAGCCTCACAGAAGGGCACACAC